GCGCGTTTTTGTAGTTTTTCGTATTCAAACAAAAAACGATTATGCAATTGACGAAATACGTAGTGTTATAATGGAAGTAAATCAAAGGTACAGTGCACCACAGTGGAAGGAAACAAGATCTGCGTGGCGAAAAACTGGATCCAATTTATCAGCCCAGTAAACTTAGTCACTATGTCCAAATTTTACCGTTGGCAGTGAACGAGGGTTCCGCTTTCTCGACAAGAACTTTGGTCTGTCTGTCAACATTGCTGATGCCCCGTAATATCCCGATTCTAGGCTAAATTGAGACCTACGGAGCGCATAAATACCGGCTATAGCAATAAGGTTTTGGTTGCAAAGTTGTGCGACCCCGTACTTAAACGACATAAGGCATTGAATGTGAAGTCTGGAGGTGATCGGAACTGCAAGGTACGCACGTTTGTTTAAACAGGCGATAAAATGGTTCTTACTCGAATTTCCCGCTGCGTGGTTCCCTTTATTGATTGCGGATTTTCCAGGGACGTCCAAAGTAAGGTTTAGTTCTGTCACGTAAGCCACTGATTGTATGCACGGTTCCAGAAATAGGAGTGGCGGTGGAACTGAGTGCCGGCCTCATGCTGCTAGATAATGCCCTTTTCAGTTTTTGGCTGTTTTGTTTTACAAAAAATATTCTGAGCTTTCCCGTCGCCGAGTTCGATTTTTTGTGGAATCACGACTCTACATCAGGGTGGGGAATGCCGGAGGCTGGTGGAGGGAAACAAGTCTCCTCTATACCAAGAGCTTAACCAAACCTCGTTGCGTATACGTGCATATGCATACCTACATATATGCTAATGTGACCACCTCGATAGGGCCCAGCTGGACACATTTTCGGGGCCTCTGGAGGACTGATTTCAACGAGCTTTTGGCTTTCACGTAGAAAACGGCTAAATGTTATAAATTCAATGCCGCCTGACGTGGTACTGATAGCTTCAGTGTCTTACGGAATCCAACAAGTGTCAATAGTGGCGCGCTTTGGCGCTCGGATGAGTTGTAGTTAGTGATAAGACCACGGTGTGTACCGGATGTTCGAAAGCAATTGATTGAGAAACCCAGTAGGGACACGGACATGTAGGTAGCCGATAGCTCAACGGGAACAGTAAGCGGACGACCGACAATGAGGCGGTGCGCAACAGTCGAACGCACATCAAACTTGCGATGAATTCACATTTAGACCTTGAAGACAAGAAACGATCTTTCCGCAGGCTTAAGCTGCATACCAACCACACGGAGTAACGCCACTCGTTGAGGTCACGGCGTAATAATAATAATTAGCGTCTATAGCCAGAATTGTCGCGATTCTTTTACGTATGGTTTCAGCTGGAGGTATGGCAAGGTTCGTGTCTGGCGTTGAGACATTGTCCAACAGTGGCCGTGAGGAAGAAGGTAGTGAGACGTGTAACAGGACCAACGGTGATTAAGTGGCGCTTATTGTCTGTATATATCGTGCAGAGGGACCTGTTGCTCGAGGGCCAACCAACCTGAAACCGTGTTAAAATGTACGGGTTTTCACAAAGAAGTGCTATGGGACTACTACCATTTCAACATCGACAGCACTGTCTACCTGAGGTTGCTGCAAACCGAAGGAGAAAAATAAGCTCGAAAATGGACCAGGTACAGACCCATTCAGTTAGCGGACCAAAGTTGAGAGCACTGGGCCCGTTAATCATTGTTGTATACGGTGGCTATGTTGACTTCCAAAACTAGCGGACTCAAGGATATTGTTAATACACCTGTTCAATGGGCAACAGCAACACTGCGCAGGAGGAATAAAAGCGAAAAAACACGTGAATACATGAAGTGAGGAACTCGTGTACAGGGGAACATAGCAAGACGAAACGGGCTGTGGGGTCATTAATTCGTGAAGCATCCATACCCTTAATGGAGTTCGAAATCACTAGGTACGACAGCATTTGGCAAGGACACTGGAGGTACAGCATTGGATGGCGAAAGTGGCGTTGAAACTGGCCGATCCATGTGGAATGGTGGCTGTATCGCTTTACATACGGGCGAACTAGGACGCGCCAGCAACTTACTACGCACTGACGATGTCACGTCTGTTTGTGACGAAACATTTGCCACAAAATTCCCCAGCTCAGCGAACAGAACAACGGCCGCGCTACAGTACAAGGCGCCCCAAGGTAGGCTGATCTAAGTCGGTCGATACTGATGAGATCGACTCACTCATAACGTCTTTCTGTGAAAATTATGTCCGTAATTTGTACTGCTCCGCGGAGGTCCTTGTATGATGCCTTACTAGTTTCTGGGTTCTCTCAACTACTAACGAGGCATGCCAAATTCCCCGCAACCTCAAGTGATTCTTCCTAAAGTGGAAGGTCATCAGGACTAGCAGCACGATGATGGGGCTTGTGTAGAGACGTACACCAGGACACGTCTGAGGTTTATAGGGGCTCCATATTCACAGTCTACCTTTCTGTTGAATGCCAGGATCCCGGGTTTCAGGTAGCAGGCGACCAACCAAATTGTTGTTCGAAGCACTGTGCTCGGTGGTCCAAACGTTCTCTTCTAGATACGAGGCTTTCGAGGATCAGTTGAGCGAGTCAAGTGGAACAGCCTGCGGACGTTTCCAGTTTTTTGCCTCTTCTATTCCTTTGGCCTTTCAGATTATCAAATACTGTTTTGAGTCGGTTTTCTAACTGGGTAGGAGCGTGACGGCTCATGTGGTTAGAGCGCGAAGTTACTGATCGAAAGTTGGTTCGAACCCGACCTCTTTCTCCCGACTTCCTTTGTCCAGGCTTGGGTAACCTGGCAGTATCCCAGACCTCATGCTTCCTTCGGGTGATATGGCAGCTAGGCACCGAAAAGGTGTTGCAGCTGAAAGAGTGGTGGCCTTTCGGCTCCATCAGGCTTCTTGGTCTGCATGGACACAGTTTCCGTGGCGTCGGATAGTGATTTCAGATGATTTGTGGTTGCGGTCAGGAGGAATCTGCCGCCGGGCCTCGAGTAAAGCCACGGTCCCATCAGGGATCCAATGTTTTTATGAGATTGGCTGAGTTTTACCGCAAGCAGAATTTCAGGCTTTGAATAGGGCTTTGGATACCTGTTCCTAGTGACCATTAATATCCAACATCGAATATCCAGCAGCGTTCATGACCCGGTTCTGCTAGGTTTTGGGTCCACCAGCTTCTCACTGACTGAGCGAAGTGTTACTTTTGCTCAGACTTGAAAGCTCCAGTGAAAAGCAGCAGCTTACAATTTCATGTTCGGATTCCACAGTGGCATTCCGGCTGATAATGATGAGGATGACAGCATCATTGGATCGATCGCCCACATCAAGCCATGATAGCGACCTTTTTCAGTTCTGCGATTCAGTGACTTCCGTGTGTGCGCTCTGATACACCACAACCAAAGCTCCTGGTGTCTTGCTTAACCGTGGTTATATCGTTCCAGGAGGCCGCTTGTAATGCACTGCAAGGTTTGCCATGTTTCCGTAACTTGTGACTCACAGGACCTTTCTACCGCTAGACGGGAGCTAAATGCGACCTTGTTCATGAGGTTTGTGGAGGGAATCCAATGAAAATATGCATGTAGAAGGACAACATCTATAGAGCTCGAGATGACTCAGAATTTCAAGCGCGAATTTACTGGCCGGAAGGTCCGTTGTCTGAACCCAACCTCTGCATCTTAACTGCTTCCGTCTAGGTTTGGGCAACCTGGCAGTATCCCAGCTCTCGCACTTTCTGCGAGTAGCGTGGCAGTTGTGGACTAGAAGGGTTTAACAGCTAAACGACTGCTATCGTTTTTGATCTGTGTCTCAAGACGATCGCCAAAGACGAAACCTAGCCATCGGTAGCTGGCTGAACAGATGATCAGTTTGACCTGAAGGTTGCTATTCTTTGTGGGGGGGGGGGAAGCCAGGCAGCACAACGGCGCCTACTGAGTTTAAACTGCTGAAAAACAACTGGTCAGTACAGAGTTGTAAAAGACGTTCAGCATTGTCATAGCACTTTTAATTCAGGTTGGATGGACCACCAAGGTATGCTTCTGATGAACTGAGGCTTCTTACATGTGCACTGAATTCTCCTGTTTTAATGGCCGGATCCGAGCTCCTCCTAGTGGACAGGAGGGCAGTTTTCCGCAGATGCCTTCCGATGAATCGGAATAGACGGTGAATAGATGGACACGACAAAGAATTTACAGTTATCTGACCAATGGGAGATTTTATCGAAGTGAAAAGTCGTACTGCATGAGGGTGAGGTGGCTCAGTGGTTAGAGCGCGAATTTACTAACCAGAAGGTCTGTGGTGCGAATCCGACCTCTGCCTCTTGACTTCCCCTAGACTTGGGCAACCTGGCAGTATCCCCCTCGTTATTCCTTCGGGTGGCATGGCAGCTAGGCACCGAAAGGGTGTTACAGCTAAACGATCACTGCATGGTCAGCTGCTTACAGATAAGGAGGCCTCAGTTCGTGAGATGGACGACATATTAGCACCTGCTGTACCCGTAGCAGGACAACCCAAGTTTCTTAGTTTCTAGCATCTAGCTAGAGACATATGCTCAGCAGCTGCACCCAGGTCCTGTACTAGGGTTTCAGAGACGCAACAGACGTCATTCAATAAAGCATTTAGAGTACACCCAAAAGCAGTTTGTTGTTTGATCTACCCAAGATTCCGAACGTTAAAAGCTGCAAAAAAACAAGGGCACACAGTCGCCGGTGTATTAAGATACATGTATCGCTAAAGCTTATATTCGGGTTGAAGATAACCAAACATGGATCAGTGGGCGATTGGGGTCCTTGACCAGAGCCATTGACTTAAGGCCTGATCGCAAGGCAGTGGTGATAGGTGTCAGGTTACTCGAGTGATTCAACTTGCAAGAAAGAATCCTACTCATCCTGGAGGGCTAGGGAGTTGTGTTTATGAGACACCTATTCACTGGAGATCGTCCAGTACAGCTGAGCAGGTTACTGAGGTATGTGATTCATCACGCCACGATAAGGCACAATCCTTTCTCAGTTTTCCATTCAAAGACAGGGATGCCCACCCCGTTCTTGTCCATCCTCGTCGGCGAAGCAGTGAAATGAACGCCAGAGGGACTTCACAACCGCCGGTGGTACACTGCGCTCAACCTGGAGTATTCAGATGACGTTACTCTAATCTTTGGGGACGAACAGAATTCACATGAGCTACTAGGTAACAACCTTTTAGCTGTAACATCCTTTCGTTGCCTAGCTCCCATGCCACCCGAAGGAAGCACGAGGGATGGGATACTACCAGGCTGCTCAAACCTAGACAGAACAAATCGAGATGCATAAGTCGGATTCAAACTGCGGACCTTCAGGCCAGTAAATTCGCGCTCAAACGATTAAGCCAACTTGCCCCCTACTATCAGTTTATCTTTATTAGATAAACTAATTACCGCCAAAGCACCTCTCGATTGGTGTGTCGCACAAAGCAACAACAAAGTATTGTTTCGGAGCGTGCAATATCTGACCACATCCCTTGCCACTAAATGAGAATCACGAGCTTGTGAAGCTTGGTAGCTGTACCAGCTCTGAAGGAAGTTTGTGTGATGAAGATAGTGCAAGAATTTTGAAGGCTGCTTAAATTATGTGACTTGTGGCATCAAAAAGACAGCACTGGATCCTAAGAGTTGTCTGTGTTTGGTAGTCGGATTCGGTGATCCTTGATGAGGGCCACATATTCCGCTTCAATAAATATGCTGCTGATCCTATTTCGTTGGCAGTACTTGTTGGCGATATTCTTAGAGCCGAAGCCTCCGGGAGAAAATCTCCCAAAAGTAAATTGTCGGTTGAATCTCCGAAGACTTTGGTCTGGTGGGGGCAACACTGTCTGGGTTCTCAGGGTCTATTAGCGCGTTCCCCGAGAGCGCTCTGGTTTGCAAGGTACTGGTTTCAATCGAAATCTCAAACAGTATGCGAGTGACAGAACTGAGAGGATAACCGTGTTCGTCGCTAGTGGACGGGGCGAACTCATGAAAGGTATACACTAGACGCATGCGCGACCACAAAGAGGAGTAAAACAACTTCATAAGAGACGGAATTTAAGCACCGGTTTCTGGAGAGTTCCGTATTCTCAGACGATCGAGAAAGTCGAAGGCAGCTTTCATACCGATAAAAAGGTCACTGTCGACCACTGAGATGGATGCAGCAGTTAGAGACTTACTTCAAGGTAGAGCTATCAAGGCAAGATCTAGCATTCCTCACGAATATGTTCACTTATCACCGATTAGCCTACGCTAGGTGATCTTGAAAGACATTTAGGCGCTGTGGCCGCCAAATTGATGCCATGGTCTTCGAATGACGGTCTTGTATCTGTTTCGAACGGTGGAATCACTGTTGAGCTATTTTCCGGTATCCTTTCATCCCAACTAATTTGTCGCTTCTCCAGAATTTTTGTTGAGGAAGGCCAACTGAACTGTTTCTATCGCTCGAGATGATCTTACGAGCGAATCTTATCTGCCTTCTTCCCAACTTGTTTAGCTGATGTCTAATTTTTGTCGTCAGCTTATCGAATCAGCTGGAATGGGGCGGAGGCTTTTTCTTTCCCTTGGGCTTTTATCCAACAACGCCCTGTCATTCCTGAGGCCCTTGGTTTTTGGGAGCTTAGGAGTTTTGCGTGCGCTTTCCTAATCGCTTGTTGTCGGCTTGGCTCCGCTGATCGGGACGAAATCCAATGTTCTATCAAGTAGTATTGGTCACAGTTCCAAAACCTGGAATTGACCCTGTCTTTTCAGGGTCACTGAGTGGTGCATTGTTTGCCTGCTTCCTTCTTACTGCACTTAGGTGACGGTTGAGCGTGGCCGGCACAAGCATGCAATCTGAACCTCTTGCGCTTACGGTCTCGGCGTCTGTATACGACCTGAAAGCCCCAATTACTAAGGCCCATCATGTACGCACTAAAACGTGATCTATGAGACTATGTGGTCGTCTTTCAAGTATGTCGTCATTAGGCATTTCTACGGATATAGTCTTCGCACTCGTGTGTTTCGGTTATCCGATAGCCAGGCATTCCTTCATGATGTATTGTTTACCGCTTGCTGTATTTGTTAGTGGAACCAATTGTTGACTGTTGAATCATATATTGGATATTACAGAACTGAGTCAATTTCTATGGGGTACTTTTATAATGAACCACTGTGAGTCTTGAGGATACCAGTGTCCACACAATGCGCTCGTCACTGTCGCATCTACTTATTGAAAAATGATGCCGCAGAGGCTTGGGTTGTCTACTGCTTTACTGTGGTAGAGCCACTAAGCAACATCCACTCCGGATACATTGATGCGTCTAGTACGGGAGTTAGGTGAGCGGGTTGCGGGTGCTGACACTCCTACCAGAAGAGCTAAGATAGACGCGAAGGTTGTATCATTGGTAATGAATGCTAAGTTGGGGATTTGAGTCTAACTTACTTTCATCACACTGAGCCTGCTAGTTGTACTCGGATTTGACATATCTACCTGGTAATTCTCCATGTTCTCTATGACATGGCTTAGAAAAACTAACAGTCTCGTTCGTATTCCGCTTATGTGATTTCTGTCCTACCACGTACGCTGTGGTGCCGACTAAAATACTTTTAACACAGCAGTCAAATCAGTATATGAATCAGTCAGCAGCTGCTAACAGGTTTGCGAATTCAACTACGCGCATAGGATAGAGAGAATGCTCGATAATACGGCACACGGTGAATGATCTCTGGTTATTTGGGCTTGATGGATATTCGGTTGAATGATGAAATCTCAATGGAAACTTCAATATTTCCTCGCCACTAATGGACGATATGCTACTGTTTTGAACCGCAAATCTGATCACTTCAGATTCGATGTCGGCTAACACTCTGCAGGCTATCTAGAGCCCACAGGTGAAGTAGAACCCTGGACGGTGAACGTGGAACCACCTACGGCCTCGGAGGTTTACGACTGCATATGTTCTCTGAGGCGCCACCGAGCTCCCGGTCCGGATGACCTTCCACTCGCACTGTTCAAACACGGCGGTGAAGTCCTCAGTCAGCGCTTGTCCGATCTGTTTGCTTGCATTTGGGGAAAGGAGTCTGTCCCAGACAACTGGGGAGAATCGGTGATAGTACCCATTTTCAAAAAAAGGGCGCGTAGTGAGTGTGGTAACCACAGGGGGATCAGCTTGAACCCGGTTGTAACGAGACTGTTGGCGTCAACTGTGCTTCGTCGCCTTACGGTGGTTTGTGAGACATCGACTCGAGAGCAGCAAGCGGGATTTCGGCCAAATCTTCACACTGCGTCAGGTGCTAGAACAACGCCATAGGTATAAGCGACCCACGATTCTAGTATTCCTGGATTTCCGAGGCGCATTCGACTCGGTTGATCGGTCTGTTCTTCTTGAGACGCTTGCCCACCAAGGAATGCCCCGGAAGTTTGTAAACATAATACGTTCTTTGTATTCTCAGACTTCCGGACGTGTGAGAGTGTACGGAGAGCTCTCCAAAAGCTTCCGCACACAAAGCGGTGTCCATCAGGGATGCCCACTCTCTCCATTCCTTTTTAACTTTGTGATCGATGAAATAATGAGACGAAAGCTGGAGGGTCTCCAAAACCCTGGTGTTCAAATAGCCAGTGAAGAAAACCTCGTCGATCTGGAATACGCAGACGACATCGTTCTCATGTTCGAAGAGGAGGAGAAGGCGCAAGTATTCTTGGATGAACTGACCAAAGTCATCCCGTCCTTTGGTATGCATTTTGCACCCACCTTGTCGATCTGGAATATGCAGACGACATCGTTCTCATGTTCGAAGAGGAGGAGAAGGCGCAAGTATTCTTGGATGAACTGACCAAAGTCATCCCGTCCTTTGGTACGCATTTTGCACCCACAAAGTGTAAGGTCAAGCTTGTGGACGTGCAGTCACTGAACACGCCAATTACGACCCAGGGGGAGGCACTGGAAGTTGTGGAGCGTTTTACGTACCTTGGAAGTTGTATTAATTCTGATTGCAGTGTGACAGATGAGGTGAATGCACGAATCTGCAAGGCTCGGGCCGCGTTCGCTAA